AGGAAGGGCAGCTGGTCCAGATGGACTGGCTCCAGAGGTCTTTAAGGATGGTGGTCGAATTTTAGCGATTAGGTTGGCTAATATTTTAGCTAAGATCTGGGAGTTACACGTTATCCCATCTAACTGGTCACAATCACTTATCGTCCCAATATATAAGAAAGGGTCAAAATCATCCTGTGACAACCATAGAGGGATTAGTTTAACTAATATAATATCTAAAATACTAGCCTCGATAATTATCAGACGCCTAAGACTCGTGAACTGCAAACAAGAAAGAACCAAGCTGGCTTTAGACCTGGTCGTGGCTTCATCGACCACATATTCACCATTCGTCAGGTTCTAGAACATAGGCATACTTATCGGTGTCCGACAATGGTGGTCTTTCTTGACTTAAAAGCAGCCTTTGAGTCTGCAGACCGCGAGGTTCTGTGGCAGTGTCTGTCATTGAAAGGCGTACCTCAGAAGTACATAAACCTTGTGAAGTCTCTTCACTCGAACACTACCAGTCCAGTCAGAGCTTATGGCGAACTGTCATCTACTTTTGCAACCTCAAGTGGTGTCCGTCAAGGCTGTCCACTTTCTCCATTTTTGTTTAACTTCATCATAGACCTACTGATGGAAATAACTTTCTCGTCGACTGAAGTCTCGGGTATTGATCTCCATCCAGGAGGTCCACTTATCGACTTAGAATACGCAGATGAAATAGTCCTGTTTGGTGAAGACGCTGATAAAATGCAGAGTCTTCTGGTAGCGCTAAGCAACAATGCCAGAATGTTTGGAATGCGCTTCTCTCCCTCTAAATGCAGGTTGTTGCTTCAGGACTGGCGTACGTCAGTCAACACCTGAATTAAGGATAGGGAGTAAAGTAGTCAAACGTGTCGACAACTTCGCTTATCTTGGAAGTCTGAACAGCCCTAATCGGCTGGTATCGGACGAAATCTCAGCACGGATTCGAAAAGCTCGCTTGGCTTTTGCCAACTTATGTCACCTATGGCGAAGGCGAGATATCCGTCTATCAATAAAAGGACGAGTATAGTGCGCGGCAGTCCGTTCTGTCTTACTTTACGGCAGCGAAACATGGCCATTTAGAGTAGAAGACACTCGTAAGCTACTAGTATTTGACCACAGGTGCCTTAGAAATATTGCTGGCGTCTGTTGGGATCACCGAGTACGTAATAGTGAGGTTAGACCCAGGATATTAGGAAATTGTGGTAAATCAGTTGATGAGATTGTGCATCTTCATCGACTGAGATGGTTGGGCCACGTGTTACATATGCCCGAACACTGATTACCACCACGTGCAATGCTGACCGCTGTTCGGGATGGTTGGAAGAAAGTTAGGGGCGGCCAAACCAAAACGTGGCATCAGTTCATGGTTCGTAAGCCTTTGTTATTTTAATAATTATACTTCAGTAAGAAACTATACTGATAACATATATAAATGAACTCATTTTTGAAGAGCCCTGTTCTATGAGTTTCTATTACTATAGATTATCTTGACTTTCTTCAATTTTAATAGCGCAGTAAAATCACTAAGTTCGATATTATAAAATATGAGATCGGTAGTCTGATACATGTACTCAGTTGATGAAGAACATTACTTAAATAAATTGTCGATGAAGAGATCTACATAAAATTGCTAGTGAATTGAAGATTGGGTTATTTTTGTAAAAACAATAGGTTTTACCACTTATCGTGTCTCATTCCAAAACAAAAAGCAGAAAAATTGGATGGTTGATGCCTTTTAATGGCTACAACGATAACGACACTCACAAAAATAAACTGAACATTGACACAACGATCAAATAGTTAAACTATAGGCTTATTAAACAGTATTTATAGCCCAATATAGATTTGAAGGAAAAAAAAACCCGCATAACATGAAACAAATCAGAGAATTTCTTCCAATGAATCATTTATTTGTTAGGTAAATACTTTATATTTACTCTCTAAATTAGACAAATAATTACTTCATCACGTCTCTTTCATAACTAACAAAGTTAATCAAAAAACCTAATAAAAGTCGGATATCACAAAACTGTTCGTTCACTTAAGAAAAAACAATATCCATTCTATAATGCATTTCATTAAACATTTCTTCATTAAATCATAACACGAGAATAGAAGTTGAGTGAAAGGTAAATGTTAATTTCTATCCATATTAACAGTACTTTATGAGATTTTCTAACAGTAATGTGGTTTTAAATACCCGGACCCCATGGTGTTTGTTGAGTTTCTGTTATTAAAAAAACATCTCTTTATGTTTCCATATAATGGAGACTTGGAATTTATCTTCAATAAAAACTTTGCATCATTAGTCATTCTGAAAAATCGCCTGTTAAAGACAACTACAACTTATGGATGACCTTTAAGCGACCCAAAAGTGACCTTCAGAATGTCCACTAACTAACCAGGACTAAATGAGTGTTATAAACTGGTGTGAATAATTAGGATTATGAAATACAGTTTGTGATTAGAGTTAGGAATCGAATTTAAGGTTTTAATCACGAACTGACATCAGCTAAACTGCTAATATGATATTTAGCCAAATGGATGAATGAGATTTGCTCCAAAAATCCAAGACATATTATTCTAAAACTGAATGGATAGTCCATAAATTATAGTGACGCCAAGCAGACATTAATTAAATTTGGAGCTCATGTACAAACGACATTAACAAGATAACAGACAAATTAAAAAATATGAAAAAAAACATGATGGAATAGGATTAAGAAAAAAGTTATAACACATTGCCACCAATGATTAATCTCATGTTTGAAAAAAACCGTGTAGAATGGTGACAATAACCTAAGGAATGACTGATTATCGACTATTACAAAGAATGAATCATTTTCTCACACTATCTGATGTAACTTGATATGGATAGGAACAATTACACATAGTTGAACAGTTATTGTGATGAGCATGACATTTGGTGATGAAAGTAAACCTGAAACTAGTTTAGCAACTATGCCATGTAGCACAGTCAATATGGTGTTAAATCGGTCAACAGAAAATTGTTGATTAGGGAGGCCTAGACATTTCCTCAACTTTGAACTATATTAATTATCCACATTTATTTTATTCTCGATATTGAATGCATATAATGTTATCGGTTTTATGTATTAATGATAAGGCGGCAGTCATATTTTATATAAGTTTAATCTCTGCCTCAAACAAATAAAAGACAAAGGCAGACAATAAAGGTCACAGGTAAAGAGACTTAGGGTCAACTATTCATGTAAATATGTGTAAAATACAAAAAAAATTTGTCATCTCAAGTTAAATTATGTATCTTTATATTCAACACGATGAACTGTAACGTCTGTTAAGTTTTACACGTCTCTTATAACAGACAATTTTGTGACAAAGAATAGAAAATTCTATAATTGGAATGTTCTACAAATTTTATCGCAAAATTCGAACTATTCCAGGTAATTCAGATTTAGTCGGTTCTTTAATGTAGACACAGGCTGATAGTTGTAAGGATTTAAACTAAGACAACTAGAAAAACACTATTAGTGGGATAGAATGAAGTTGAAGATTTTTTGGTAGTCAAGTTCTGTCCATAACATAAAATTGACAGAATATTTTGTAGGAGTAAATCACACATTTTTCTTGATTAAATAACTATCCATGTATTTTGGTGGGACAAAATAGGTGTGTTTGATAAACACAAACGTTTACCATATTCCAAAGACAGAACATCAAAGTGATGGATCACAACAAAATACAGAATCCATTATTATTTCTGTGGAGAGTGAAATGACCAACGCACTAATGTAATCTGTTCAAATTACATCAAAATCATAGTGACGGTCAAATATTGAGCACAGCGGTTGTTTGATACTAGAAGCATTCTGTTTCCAACCAGTAAATTACAGCTGACAATTCCGCTCCACCCTGCTTAGAGTTAAGCTGGATAATAACACTAGATCTTAATGCATATGACTTGGAATCTATAATGGATAAAGGAGTCGAAAAAGTAGCTATTAGATAATGTATAGAAGCTATCTCTGAAACAACCAGTTTGATCATACAATATACTATTGCAAACTAAAACCATGGAAAAATATTGTCACCTGTAAGTTTTCATTGTTAGGTAAGACTTACAGGAAAATTATTTTCCGTAAAACTTATGCTTAAGTATAAAAGTGAAAAAGAAATCCCAAGTTGTCTAAAAAATAATGCAACGAAAATGTTGCTAAGTAATGACATAAAATCAATCAATTATCATCAGATAAATAACTTTGACAACTGAAAAAATAGTTAATTTTTGAAGACAAAACATGAAATAAAGTAAGTAGAAAAATAATGACAGGAAACTGAAAACAACCTTTATACGGTAACGTTGAAAAAAAAAAGTATACATATCATCATACCGATAATTTTTGATATCATGAAAAAATGGTTTACATATACATATAAAATCATGATAATCATCTTTCATTTAATTATAAATATTACAGAACTTATTAACTTTTGTAGATCTGGAAGTAGAGCGAAAATCGAACAGGAAGAAAGGAAATAATAATACAAGTCAAACTGAAGTTTGATTATATAAATAGGACACATATCAGGCGATAATAAACTTTCTTAAGATCAATGAGACGACAAAAAACAACTGAATTAATATTTAAACAGTGTATCGTCATAACGAAAACCAACGTATAGAACAGAGATGACCAGTTATAAAAACTGATAACGACAAAATTTGGGGTAAGGAGCTTCAAGGTTTCTACATCAGTATAACTGACCAGTACGCAACTATATAAAATAATCAGAAGTAAAAATAAACTCAGGTTTTCGGCGTCTTCAGCGGTACCGTCAAGATCAAAACATGATTCAGAAAAATTGGTAATCACGTAAAAAAGTTTAAAGTACGACAAAATTGTAGTAACAGACAAACTGATGATCCAGAAAACTTTTATCAGCACCAAAGAAGTAAGCATATATGGATAGATATTTGTTCTAGTTAAAGGTACATTTTAATAACTCACCTATAGATTCTGCCAATCGGAGAGTTACGAACGGACAATTGACCTAGTTTGAGTAGATCTGGACCAGCAAAGTGTTCTTCAACTTCCACATACAAACCATCTACAGGATCTATAATTAAGGTTTGAGATTCTTGAACAGAAGTTGAACAGCGTACAAAAATTGTAACATTTGAACGACTAACGTGAGCTATTGGTTTATGATTATCCCAAGCTTCAACATGTAGAAAAAAGACTTGATCATTTAATGAAAATGGTGAATACGAGACATTAGTTAATGAAAGAGTAGAATTCGATGCTACACGTAAAATACCATCATTTTCATCAAGAGTAAAATGCTCAGCGCCATCTCCACCGACAAGGTAATAATGAACCTAATTTTCATTTAAAATAAATAGAGCAAAAAATGATAAAATTCATACAGCATTAAAAAGTGATGAAATATAATGATTAAATTTGTTGAGTTTTAAAAGAAAATTTATTAAGTTTTAACACTACAAAATCCATAAATCACCTGTCCGGAAGTGAACGACATAAGTCATTTGTCATTAGTCTTTATTATTTGTTTAAAAAAGAAACTACTACTGAAATTTAATTTTGAATAAAAAGCTTTAATCAAGTTTTAGATATTGAATTACCAATTAACTATATGAAGAGTTTACAAGTATGTATTATTTATCCAATGGATTAATGTTGTAATACTACTGGTTTAAGTAGATTGTTAAACGTAACATCTTGATGAAATGTAATAAACATCTTTGGTTCCGAATCAATAATAGTCAGTGAAAACTGAGATATCGGTTATATATTCCATGGTGGTCTAGCTTCAATTGACTCATGATTTCAGCTAGTATATATTGCGAGTCAATAAGAGGGGCAAAGATGATGGATATTTATTAAATCCCAAGTATAAACGAAATATTTAAGTTAGTTGGAAGAATATTCGAATCTAAATGATGGAACAACGATTATGCACAGTTGTGAGTCGTTTCGGACAAAAGTAACGAGAGGTTAAAAACTATGACAATAACTAAATGAAGTGGATATGAATGCTAACCTCAACTATTAAACTTTATATGGGATCGTTTAGTTGAAAAATACTAAGAAAAATATGTATAGGTTTTAAAAAAATAATTGCGTAAAGAAATTATATTAATGTCTTTAGTTTCTTTTAAATCGAATCCACTTTGTACACTTCCCATCTATTATTATGAAACATTTTGCTGAAACTGTAATGGAATGAATATATTTCCTTCAATGATAACCGCTTTAAAAAACTGCGGTTCGTAGCTAACTTTTTCATTAACGCTCCCGACATTTCATCATTTTGCAAGTAACTATGTTGTCATTTATTCATTTAAACACATAAACACCGACACAAAGGTGCACTAAAATGAATATGCAACATAATAAAAATGAGATTGTGAAGAGCTAGAGGGGAAAAGTTGAGTATAGTAAATAAATAAAAAACAATGAATGAATGAAAATAAGTGAATAACAGTAAAAAAAAGGAAAAGTAATGGGAGAAGCAGTTCAATTAACATTCTTGAAAGACATGGCTCAAAATCGTTTGCAATGGCGCAGGTTCATCAACTCTTTGTGCTCTCCCAAATTCTTATCTTTTGAATTCTTCATGTCCCTTGTTTTCTCTTCCAAAATTTACTTCCCTGAATTATACTCCTTGAATAACATCTTCAAACCCTAATCTTTCAGATTACTGCTTATACTTTTACCGCCTCTACTACTATGAGATTAGAATCGACAAATGCATCTCTGTGCTAATGTGATATGACAACTTGAACTGATGTTCGGACGTATAAACGATTTTTTTTCAGTTATAGAAGTTCATCTCACTTCTATGATAAAAATTTTAGAAAATACAAATGACCGCCACTAGGTTCTATTTGGAGCCATTTCTGATAACGTCTCAAGCCACTGTGCTGAACAGCCTATAGGAACCCAGCCAGAGTCGACAGATGAAAGTCCTGCATAGTCTTGTTTCGTAACACGGAGTAGTGTTGTGTTGGTACTTATACAGTGTTATCTATCTATAGCAATTTGTTATATATATACCGGCAAAACGTGAAAAATGGTACTAATTAACAGCCAACAAATAAATTTAAGCACATTATACATTGAAAACTACTTACAGAGTCATTCAGATCTGGATCTTCTGCCGTTAATTGTAAAACCGATTCGGTTGGATAAGTTGGTAAAAATAGTGTAGATCTTAAATAAAATGAATCTGTAAAAATCGGAGGACTATCGTTTACATCTGTAACTTCAACAAAGATTCTTATTAATCGGTCAGCTGTAAGACTAGGTGTCCCACTATCTGATATCTCAATCATAAGATTGTAATGTCCTATTGATTCGCGATCTAACGATGCATGATCAGCAAGACGTAGTACTCCAGTTGAACTGTCCACAATGAAAGGTTGACGATTCTGATCTTCCACTTGTGATCCGACAAAATTATATACAATCTTCGCACTCATACCCACATCATAATCAATGGCTTTTATAGTGAGTGGACTGATATAGTTTGGATCACAAGCAACCAAATGATCTTCTAAACAATGACCAACAATCATAGTACCAGCTGGTGAATTCTCAGTAATCCAACCAGTCATACGACTTGGCCCAATGACTTTTGGTGGATTATCATTTACATCGAGAATGCGTATCTAATATGATAAAAGCAAGAAAAAATGCACAAAAAGCCTTTTCTTTAGTCTCATTTTATAGAGAATAAAAAACATATGCTAAAAATTGTACTACAGATTGTAATTTCAACAATAAATAAAAAATTTTCATTGGCGGAAAACTAAGACAGTAGAAAAGAACAGTTGTTAAAAAATGATATATATGTATATATTTATCGAAATCAATATTTTTACATGGACGGAATAACTTTGCTGTATTGTATCGTAGTCTACTATACGTGGCGAATTAGTCATTAAAATAATTTACCTATATTTGAGGAACAAAATTAAATATGAAGGAGACGAAAATTAAAGGTATTCTTGCAGTATCAATGAACCAAACGATAAACGACAAACTTCACAATCCACTATACTTAACAACAGTCAATCTCGATGGGTGATGTTTGATGGGGTAGAAGCAGGCTGGAAGAAAGCCAGGATTGCCCAAGACAAGATATAATATCAATACATGAAGTCCGTAACTGTAGGTTTGACCCTTACTGGTAAATGAATATTATCTGGTTGCGGCCCATGCAATAACAGCTATCAGTGTATATGGACTTCGGGTTCAATGGCTCATAATCCCTTAAAATGCAGTAGATGTAGTCGTTCCTTATCTTCTTCGCAATCTTGAACTCCAGTATTCTTTCCTACATACTTTTCTATTTTACCCTTTCGAATCATATTCCCAATATTCCGTCTTTCACGTTATCATTATCACTATATTGTCTCAATCTCTGTTACAGCTCACCTTGTTATTTTGATCTCATTGTGCTAAAGTAGCATGGCAATATGGCATAAAACATGTGCGTGTCAGGCTCAATGCTGATGACGGATGACTGACTGATAGAAAATACGCATCGCAATGATTTATTAATGTGGGTGAAAACATTGTAAAGAGATAAATTAACAATAAGGAAATGCATAAAACAGCAGAAGAGTTTAATAATCTATTATGAGACCATTTATAGGTGTATATAACTACTAAGGAAAGTGTTATTATGGATGACGTTCACAGATTGCGATCGATAGTGACAGTCAAGCAATGATGAACATGATGTGAACAACACCAACATAAAGAGAAGAGATAAGGAAAGAAACAAAAAAGCTAAATTTGTTAAACATGACGACAGAAAAGCTTCGCTTAAAGTATTTATTCGAAATTCATAAGAATTTATAAGTTACGGGGAGACGAAAAACACTATTTAAGTACTACACAAACGCCTGTTAAACACTTATTGGCAAAGGAAACAACCTTCAAAGTATAAACACATGCTTAGTCACATAAAAACGGTTAAGTGAATTTTGGAAAGACTAACACTAGCATGAAAATCGTTGACGAACAAACAACTGAGTAACACAAAACTTGCATTTAGATGTCTTATCAAGTTCAGAAACATGAATACACAATTCAAACACTTTACGCATAGATCAAATGCATTCAATCCGGTGAATAGATACAAAGCGCTAAACACTGTCAGAAAAGTGAAATACACATATGTGTGTGCGTGTATGTGAAAGTCAACAATTATCTCAGAAACAATACATTAAATATATTTAAACCTTCAACAATATTTTGACAGAAAATTCATCCATCTTAACATGACAACATAATGGTCACACACCCAATAATGAAGCAAAAATTATTCCATCCAGAGTTAAAAAAACAAAGAACAAATATGTACACATTTGGTTGAGCAATAATTAACGTTGATCAAAATAAAAAAAACAGCGCTACCATTGTTATTGTCGTCACAATGTGGTTGGGATAACATATTTAGTTTGAAAAATAAGAAATAACCTTTTGATTACAAAAAAAAGTTATTAGTAGGACGGCATTTCTTTTTTGTAGTTTTAATTATTTGCCTGAAGAAACAGGATCAATAATAATGGATGGAAATCAGTGAGAGACTTAGAAGAGAAACAGCGTTTTTCGAAAGAATATTTTTCTACATGTGTGTATCTGGTTAGATACGTTGAAATCAACGGGAAAAAAATGAAATGCAAAAGAGTAACAGCTGTAAGGGAAAAATGTTATAGAAAAAAATTAATTGTTGAAATCACACATCCACACACAGATGAACACAATACAAAAAATATTTTTGCATAAATAATTCGGTAATTTTAGAAATAATCACTTTTTGAATGTGGTATGAACTTCGGTTATTGATTATCGAAATGTTTTAAATACTAAATATTTTTATTTTAAACTTAAAAGGGTTGAAACAGGATTTATAAAAGGGTAAATGAATTCGGGAATGGGTAGGGTATTAGCTGAAATCAAGTGTTCTAGTACAATAAAATGAATTATGCTGAAATTAATTATATTGTGTAAGGGCTAGAGACAATACTTATTTACTTGAACGGATTTTAAACGACCGATTAAGTGATTCAATAATAATTCAATCAACTGACTCATTCATCAGTAGACTCAAGAGTAAGACACTTGAAGTTAAATGACTTATGGGGCGTCTAAAGTACTTTTATGTTATACTTTGTGAGACTTTTAAGTAATCCAGGACTGAAACTTTTTCAAATCATACAAGGATGTATGTAGTCAGATTACTCATATCTCAAGTTCAATACCGACAAGTACACAAACGCAGAAACTAATAGTTATCCAATGCCAAAAATTCAGAAAAAAAATATAATATTACAATAAATACTCGTATATTACCTGTACAGTCTTTTCAGTCATGTAAACAAGATATGGATATGTGAATACCTAAATTATTGGACAGAACAATTTTCATTTGTATAATGATTCATTAGGTGTTTTGAGACTTTACAATTTTGTATCGACAAAAATAAACTTGTGAATCAATTCGAATTCTATTTTCACAATATCATTGTAACAGTTAAAATTTTAATATATTCACAGTAAAGTAATAAATTCGAAATTAACTCAGCTTCTCGAATGCATACAAGTTTATCAACAAGGCTGAGAGAATGAATGAAATTGAAGCACAAGTTTTGAATGTAAACCGTAGAAATAAGAATTATTCAGTTTGAAAAGAATCTGTATATTATTGGGAGTTTACCACAAATAAGAATGTTATCTAAGTCCTAAGTATATATCGACGAAATAAATATATTCATCGGTCTGTTATTGACGACTACCATTCTATATTATATCCTCAATAATATGAAACTGTCGTGTCCTACATCAGCTATATAACTTCTAATCACTGAGCCGGAGGTTTGCAAACACTACAGACTTACTGAATAATTCGATACTTCGATAATATTCGTAAATTCAATACATTTTTTGTAATCTATATTCTTCCACGGGGAATATCTCTACATAGTAGTCAAGCTTAAACAATCTGGTTATTAAACAATGACGATATATATTTACAAGCCATCAAATGTCGGCAGTATCAATGGAGAAAAACAACAACACTATACAAAACCTGATTTACAATAAATAATTGAAAACAAACACCGGACGAGCTATATATCTAAACAAAAACAAGAACTAGTATCTACGATTATTATTTATTTCGATAACAGATTCCACATATTTTCACACCATATATATAAGGCGGCTAAAATCCACTTTCACTTTGATTACTTAACCGAAAGCTACTAATTGTTTTATTATATAGGTGGTATTTTTATTTAGTTAGCTGAATAATTTATAAGAGAACTTATGCCGATTTATCATCAGTATGAGTTATTAGTGTGTGAGAGAGTTAACACTATTTCATATAAAGGTTATTGAAATATGTGTTTAGTGCAGTTTTTAAAGATGAAAAAGAAAAGAATAAACAGTCTGGTCAATACTAGTAAAAGTATAATGTAGTTACTTGAACAAACTTTGGTATGTAAGCTGATAAAATAGTATGAGAAAGTACACAATGGGATAGTACTCATGTAACATATAATATAACAAGTAATAGTAATATTTTGTAAGCTGTCTACTTTAAGGTGAGATGTTCAATAACAGGAACTACAAAACTAAACATTTGTGAACACGGTGAACCATGAGAGAATATTTTTTTGGCGATTATTTATGCATTTGGATATTATACATTAAAAAAGTTTGCAATAGCAGGCAGAAGAATGATTGAGGAAATATGTCTTGTTTTATGTGCGACGCCACAGATGAACATACTTGTTATGTCTTATAGCTCGTTAAATGTTGCATGACAAAGCCACTAATCAGAATACTGACTTATATGACCTTGTCCCTGTGGTAGATTAATGACATGCCAATCAGCACGAGCAGCCTAGAGTTAATTATGAATCCGTCTAGTTCAGAACATAAATATCAGCCTCCACTATATGGATCGTATATTTAAAACATACAGAGTTCATATAAAAGCAGACTAGACAGCATCACAACATAAATTGAAAAATAATAGTTATACAAGATCAAGACAAAAGTGACTCTAAGTGTATTAGATTTTAACTAATAGAAATAGATTGGGAATAAGTTAAGAATAATTAATCATATAACAGTAACCAATAGGTCAAATGAAAGCTTATGATTAAAGGAATATATATATATAATCTAGTTACTTAATAATTATCCACTGAGAATATATGTAATAATAGTTCATAAATATAAGTCCTGCAGTTACCATTCATTTATTCTTCGTTTAGATATAACAATACAACAAACAAGCTATTTCAAGATATTCGTTCAGTCAAACGATCTGTCGAAAAAGACTGATCGAAGTCAGTAGTGAATATCAAAAACAGGAAAATACATACCACTAGAGTTTGTGATAACTGTCCGTTTATTTATTGGAAATACTTATATCCTAATATTTCCCACTCAAAATCTCATCATGATTTTACGCATTGGGACGTTAAATGATGGTAGTTCGCTAAAGGGATTATTAGCTGCATTAGTGAATAGGTTTTTGGATAAACCATCGATTTTAAAACTGTCACTCCTCCTTGAAGCCTCCAATAAGTGAATTTCATTATCAACATGATTTTAGTATGCTTGAAAACTAAATATATTTACATGATTCTTGAATACATTAATAGGAATTATAAGTTAGTTTATTAAAAGTCTACAAAGTCGTGGGGTTAGCATACTATTTCATCAATTAATCGAGTGTTACTGATATGACATAGATTTATATCATATGAATGCAGTGGGCTTTAAACCTATGATTCAAAGATTGAAAACATCTAACGTCAAAGGATTGAAAATAAGTTTTAAAATATTTTCAACAAACTTCGGATAGTGTGTATTTAAAAACACCCTAAAACAATTTTAAGTAACTTATTCATTACGGTTCTCATTGCTAATGATATTAATGAAATGAGTTATCACCCGTATTTTACAGTATTCGATAATCTAATGTCTTCCAACGTCTACTAATGGAACAATAATAATGATAATTATTTTACAGAACAGACGAATAGTAGTTTCCAGTGGAATGTAAGAACAATATTTCGTCTCATTTAAGAGAATTACATTTCAACAGTGATGTTCACAGTGACATTCAAACCCAACCTAACCGTTTAAACACCCAACATGTTATTTACTAGCCTGTTGAGTCCAGATACATATTAACTTGTCTAGAGGGTATGATGTTTGTATCATTATTAGGAAAAAAATTAACTATCGATTCGTTATTCTTCATTGAATTTTGATCATTATTTTTATTAGTACTTGAAACCCTCTTTAATAATGATTATAAAAATAATCATCATTATTATTATCAAAAGAAATTTCAAGTAGCAAGTACTCAAAAAAATTATAAGAATAGAATAATAGAAATAAAAATAATCTAGATTTGTCTATTTAATTTAACTCTACTTTTCTCTATTCAACTTCTACTCTCATTTGTCCATGTCCGTTGCTCAATACCAATAAAAAAAATTTTCATTTAAATACTCTGACTTTCTTTTACCCCTAAAATTCTCATAAATCTTCCATTTATATATATTTATAAATAATAGAAATTAAGAGGAAATTATGAATTATGGCATGGATTATGATATTTATGATAAGCCTAAAAATTAATTGAAAGGTGAAATAAACATTATTATTATTATTATTATTATTATTATTATTATTATTATTATTATTATTATTATCCATAACTAACTGTTACCAACAATTGGCAATTCGATAGAGTAAAATAAATGCATGACAAGAAAGTTGAAAAATTCTAAGAATTTAAAAATGATTTTATTTTCGATAAAAAACAGAAATCCTAGTTTTTGCAAATAGGCAGAAATGAATAGAAATTATGCAGCAACACAATACAACAAAAAGAGAGTAGAAGACGAAAATATTGAACTAATGAGAAATTAAAATGATAAATTTATAAATGGGTCGTATATATATATATATATATATATATATCCATTTGCAGGCAGTGGGTTTGCAACACCTTATAGATCAGAGGTAATATTCAATGAACTATGTAGATTAACTTCATATTCAACTCTCCGAATTCATTAGTTAAGGCTAAATAGTCGAAAATTCAACATGAGAAGTTTCTTTTCATACGCGTTAATTCTCAATAAAATTGCCAACAAGTAACAAAATGGTAAGCATAAACAAGTGTACGATAGTTAACAGTAATCATTTTTTAAACTATACACCAGGTGATGTTATCCTATACCATAAATATATAAGTAAACAATAATATTATATATGTCAATACGAATTAACTCATTACTTCCCACCCAAAAATGTTATGACTAACGTAAACAGCTACTATGAAATTATAATAATAAGAGAGGAGAAATACCAACATACTAAAGGTAAATTGTATGGAACACACAAGAAACATTTGTCATATATTGTATGCCTACCTTTATGTCTATCACTATGAAATGTATCACTATGTATATATGCATGTTTAAGTATGTTCTAAAACAAACAAACAAGTCATTGCTGTTTAGTTACAATTTTGTTTCTTATTCACTCTTTTCAATAATTCCGTCGCTGACAAGACAGTATGAAATCAGTCATTTTGTGATATATATATATATATATCAGTGAATTATTGAAATCAATGTCAGCAGAGCACACAGTAAACACAGAATCTTCCAACTTTTTTATTGACGTGAAAATATTTTCGAATCACTGCATATAAAAATCCTTATTATTATTATTATTATTATTATTATTATTATTATTATTATTATTATTATTATTATTATATTAATTTGATTGAGTTAAATGCAGTTCTCTATTAGAAAACTATTTGATTTTTAAATGAAACATAAAAACAAATTGTCCAGAAAAAGAGTAAAACGAAATTAAATAATAAATTGATGAAAAAATAGTAGGAATTGTTGATGAATTAAATAGAGGTTGAAAAAAAGACAAGCAAACAATAACTTCAACTCATCAGGTTGGAAAGTTCACAGAAAATAGTGTTTTATATGATGAGCAATAAATATTATTATTGCTATTAGTATTATGATTCAAATCTGTTTACATTCTAAAGAACGAATTCTATTCTTAGCTATTTACTTTCAAACTGACAACAGATAGGTTTAATCCCCTTGATAATTTAGAATGTCAGAAGACTAAAAGAAAAAAACCATGATAACAATAACAATAATAAAAGAACAAACAATTAATCATTTTCATTACTATCATGCTTACATATTAAAAAAAAAACACAATAAAACCCATGTGATTTAAGATTCTCAATTCAGACAGTCAGTCGAAATTTTGATTGGTGTGCATTTTATTATACACTGAGGATATTGTCCAGAGCGCAAATGAAAACTTGGTACTGATCAACTGGAGTTACCTGTGCTCGAGAGTTGATCAACTTAACCCAGTACCTATCGCTTTAAACATTAACGCGTTATCTAAATCAACTATTGAGTTTAAATGGCCAGTAACTTGTTCGATGGGCATAGTATTCATTAGTATTAATAATAAAGGTTTGATATTCCGAACTAGACTTGATTAATAACTGTTAGCATATGGTTCCTTAACCGACAGTCATGAGATGATATTATCTACGCTAACAACTTGATTAAATTTTTTGGATTGACTGATAATCGGTGATCATAAAACACAAACCCTTAACAATAAAAAAGCCACAGTAACTTTTGGAAATTTGTTATAAACATTGAGGTAGTGTACAAATAAAATCTCACTTGAATTATCAAACGATCATAGAACATATTGCGAATACCACCAGTGCCGACGACTTCCACAACAAGACGATGAAAATCACCATGTGTTTCTCTGTCTAACTGAACCAATGTGACCAACAAACCAGTATCAACAATTACTCCAAACAAATTTATAGGAACATTTGAATTTGTACGATGCTCATACAATAAATTCATTGGCTCGGCCATGACTAATCGAAATGCAATAAAACCTGGTATAGCAGAATCCGAAGTCAATTGGCGTATTAATGGTGCCAAAACTGTATTTGGTGGAACATTTTCATGAACCGTTAAATAAAGTACATCATCGGACGCAAAACGTGGTGCTGGTGCATCAATACCACCGGGGCCAGGAACGATGTGTATTTTAACTTGTGTATAATTAGATTTTGATACGGGAGTCCCATTGTCACTTGCAGATACAACTAGATAATGTGTTCGTACAAACAGTTTTGAGTTAAGTCCCGGTACTAACTCCCCAGTGTTTGAGTAAGAATGACTAGGAAGTAGATGTTTCACTAAAGTTATACATCCGGTTTTGGGTTCAATAGCAAAGAAATCAGAAGTATCACCTATAAAAAGACAGAAATAAGTCATACAGTTAGGCATCAACTTATTAGGAGTTCTCAACTTTCACATGAATCACATCAATAAACAATCAGTAAACTAAGGATAACTACGAGTCATAAAACAAGTGAAATGTATCATAATTATGGTTGATTTGGTAGATACATGAAAAACAAAGGTCAATGTAATTAATAACCTAAAGTCTGTTAATTTCAACTCTGACACTTTTCAAAATCATTCACTAATAAATCAATAAAACTGACCATACTTACATATATATCAGATTTTATAAATTGATGGTGATAATATCCTGTAAATGATTAATTTTGTGATGTTTGGAATTTTCGATTTATAGAAACATGAATTAACTATGATATCCACATTGTGATAGTTTACAGACTAAAAGATGTTAGATAGTTCCATGAATAAGGACTTTGAATAATGACAAATTCACTAATAAGAAGTGAAATCTACAGACAACTTAACATTTAAGACCTCAGCATTTTAGGGTTGCAATTACGGACAGCTATTTTAAGTCACTGGAAACATTTACTCCTCATAAAACAGACATCATGGAAGTAAATGTAGTGAAATTATATTGTTGGCATAGGTTGAATAATACTTTGAGAAGGCTAATTCATTTGATGTTATTAAATCACAAAAAGTAAAAATGCAATCATTAATAAAACGATGATCTATACATACGTGTAATTAGTTAGGATATGTTTGTTACTATGACCATTTAAAAACCGATATCTGGAAAACAAATCTACCATAAACTAACAATAAACATGTGTGTACCAGAATTAAATAATCATAAAAATGAATATTCTAGTAAGGACAATAACTTCTTAGAGAAAACATATAAATATTTAGGGAACAATAATAGATAAATGAGATATTAAAACCAAATGTTCACCTTTAACAATGTTGTATACAATTAGTCCATTATCACTAGAATCTGGATCAAATGCTGTGACACAACCAATTGAACTACCGACAGGACTATCACCTGATACATAAAAAGTGAAACTTCCTAAACGAGACATTGCATCACTGTCTAATACGTTTATATTATTAGTGATTAAATTTGAAGGTGTATATAAACCAAGAAACTGTGGAGCATGTTCATTCGCATCTAATATATGTACATAGATGGTTGCGTGAGATGAGTACAATGACACTCCTGAATATCGTACTGCAGCCAATATGTAATGATGCTGAATCATTTCATAATCCAAAAGTCCGCTGACAAGTAGTTCACCTAAAATAAAAAACAATGGATAGGGTTTTACAAAAAGTAGTCATTTGTGATTGTTTTTTGAGGAAAGTTATTTGTTTGAAACAATTAACCTAAAAACACTCAAAGTGAAATATGCATTTTTAAAGAAAGCTGCAACAACAAAATAGCTAACTATAAATGCCATGAATATGTAATGATAGGGAAGAAATACTTCCTAAATAAGCACATCACCTGTTAATCAAGTGTAGTTTCATAAATTAATCCGTCTAAATTAAAATAGATGAAGACTTAAACCTTCGAACCTGCAATGGCTTAAACTAAAAAATAGTGGTAAATAAGTATTGATCAAGAATAATGACTATCGATTAGAATCAAAATATATCATTTATGTTATATGAGACTGCTGATTATAACTAACCGAGACATAAATAATTGAAATTATTCCCATAAAGGATTGAATACAATAGTCATTTCTTGACATGTTAAAACCCTGACCACTAAAGTATTCATTATTCTTGAAACATTTTTATTTGATTACACTGATTTGCATAAGAAAACTGAGGATAGTTTTTGACACAAGATCAGTGAATAATAAATACTCTTAGTAAATTTAAGAACTTATTTAGGGAGAAAATCATCCTGTCGAAAACAGTTAATTATTCGCAATAAATGAAGACAATAATCTACTACTTGTAAATACTTAGAAATGTAAATTTATTAAACTACTAATAGTCGTCACGACCAAATAGACGCTTATGTAATAAACCGTTGGTTAAACTTCGTACAAGTTTAGTGGCAGCATAGATTTGAATGCAGTATTCAAACAGTTAAAATCCAAGTGCTGGAAGCGACAAAAAACAATTTAACAGCTCTTATATAAATTGAACAAAGTTGAATAGTCATTAGTGTAGTAAAGTGATTACTTTCTGAGTGAATAGCATTAGGTCGATTATGCCAGCTTTTTGGTGAGTATAAACATCCATACACCTTAGTTTTTTCATGATGATATCACTATTCCTAGTACTAAATAGTTTGAAACTAAGAAATAAATCCAACAGCTTCGATAATTTGCTTTTACGCTTTACAGAAATGAGTACATAATGTGCTCTATGTACCCCTTATATTATGAAAAGATAACAGTTACTTATAAATACTTCAAAATTCTGTATGTTTACGTAATTTTTTATCAAATTCCTTTCGCTACCAAGAAATAGATTATCCAAAGGATAAGAAACATCTGAAAGTGTGAAGTAGATTTCATTATTCTTTTAAAGGGTTTAAAGAAAACAGGTTAAAAGTGAACTAGAATCACTAAAACTTTCACAAGGACTAACGTTTCACCATACGGACAAATTTTAAATCAAATAAGTAATTTTAAAATGGACATTTTGTTAGTTAGCTGAAAAATAAACCAAGAAGGAGAGCAATAACAAAAACTGAAAGGTCTAATAGTTTATGTATGCAAATAACTTCGTGCATCCTTCAAACACCCGACTCTCAACTATTATGTAGTAGATCGGAACCCAGTTAAACTTACAACTATTAAAGCAGCTAGCCTGTAACACAAGGACGAGTAAAACATCAGATACATGATTATTCAACTACATTTATTGCATATTAAATAGTGAGATAAACGAATGACATATAATTTCAATAAAAGTAGACGTTCAAGAACACATTTTCTAAATACTTAATAGTATTTCAAGTAACATTAGAAGAGAAGGGTTGACATAACCAGCTAGAATTACAAACCTTGGGTATACACAGATACAGAACACAATGTATAGGTGAAAACATAACTCGTCAAACAACTATTCTACTGAACTAACAATCAATCAATCAGTCAATAATAGAACATAATTTCACTATGGACTTCATCACTTAAACATATACACACATACATATATATTTCCTTATTCCGCTTAAGAAGAATTAAAGAATTGTTTCACATCAAAATTCACAGTATTTATAAATTCATCATGAAACTATAGGCAGCATGTTTGTTTTCATGTTTTTTTTATATGCCAATTGTAATAAGAATAATACAACTATAAAAAGCAACGAAATGGGTAGTACATGGTGGTATTTGTACACATTCATGTCCATCAGACCACTAAAAATAACACTTCTAAACAGTTAACATCAAGGACCGGAATAATAACAACAAAGAATCATAAGTATTCTCTATTAACGGTATTATTATTGTAATTAGTTTAGGTGAAAACTAATCACGAACAAATCTTCCATCAAAACATCAAACTACAGATTTCTAGTGTTGTCGTGATCAAATTTACTCGAATGATTGAAAAAGGAAGAAAGTTAAAACTCGAAAAACACAACAAGAATTATAGCTGTTGAAAATTAACATTTTCAATAATAAGTAATCACTTATGACTCAATTTTCATGTAAACATTATATATATAATACGCTATTTAGTTCAAATAAAGTTAATAATTGGACTTCTTTTATAGAAAGTATAGGCTTTTACTACCCACATAATAAATGGATGTTGGATGATCCGCATCAGAATCAATCACAGTGGTAAAGGTGTATCCACTCTTTAGTTTGCTGTATATCTTCAGGTCTAGCATTCCTAAATACATACGGTTTTATTCTTTTCCCAAATAGTATTTTCAATCTTAGTCTTTGACATTACCACTACTACTACGACCATTTCGATTCCACTGATATTATTTTTGTTTCGTTAATCTCGCAACGAAACAGTGTTCAATCACTAACACAAAACTAATCTTCTGAACAAGAATGTCTTACAGTTCGTAGTCTAGCTTAAATCAAATCGTGATTTCAACTGTGAAAGTACTACAATTTCCACAAATCCACATACTAAAAACTATAATAGTATACCTTATTTTTATCCGTTGAAGTAAAAGACTAAAAATGAATAAACAGAGAAAGTACTCAGACGCAGTCCAATAGAGCAAATTACTATATATAACTTCGATAGAAAACTGTCTTTAATAACACTACTTGAGTCAAAGTAAATTCCATCAATTTTTCAATCGTATCTAGTTCGAATTCACATAACAGTGAAGTCAGTATGACTAGAAACCTATAAACATATACTTAAGATATCTAAGTACACCAACTTTTATATGGGAATTAAAAAAACCCTTTTATTCAGTCAATTTTTTCAACAATAAACAGAAATTGAAATATCATCAAACAATAGTATAAATAGAAGATGTAAAGGTATCTCAGCCTTATATAAAACAATTCGCGAATCGAAAGTCAAGAACAGAACCCTCATACGATTATGGTTATTTAAAAAAGGAAGGTTATAATAATTCAACAAAATAATTCATTTAAATTTTTATTGTTTTAAATCAACAAAATCAGCATACACATATACAGACAAATTTTCAAAATGAGTAAGCTCAAATTCTTAAGTAAACAATTAATGGGAACGATAATGAAAATTGAAAATTATACATGCTTATAAGTTTTGTTGTCGATATATTAGATGAATCATGGGTATTATTGTCTAGTGTAAAAGTCAGACACTAGTGTAACCTTTAAGAAGTTTGGCAAAGGTAAATATGAGAAAACAGTTAAACAGTAGAAAGGAATACTACACTGCAATATTGTCGAGTTGTGCAGCTGTTTTAAGAAACCAAAAAACGTCTTAATGCTGAGGTTTGTACATTGAAAGAATGAAAACATGATGTTTAATATTTTTGACCATTGACTACTTAGTAGTAACATTAATTTATATTGAAGCCACCGAATTCGAAATATGTCGATCGCCAATGAAGTACTAGATAAATTAGATTAACAGTTATTGAAGTTGGGTGAAACAGTATCGACTGGAGGTGTGTATGTGGTTACATCAAAGCATTGTCTTAGCAGAAGTTACAATTTTGCTGAACAACTACGACAGTTTGCATTTCACGAAGAAACTAATTTTCTTTAAAAAATCTTGATGCACCATTAAGATTTATCTTCTAAACAAAACCTAAATACAATATTAGCCTTTCATGTTTTCTGTTAGACTATTTTATCATGGAATTAGAAACAGAAAATCTTTAACATTAATTATTGTTACTTCTTTTTTTTCTTCCAACCCTTTACTAACACTACCCAAAATACCAATTATTCACTATCTCCCCTTACAGAATGAAAATAAGGTTGTAAATAAACAAAAACACATCAGGAAAAGAAGCTATGACGATTGGGTGGGTGAATAGTAGAAAAATTAATTAATTATCAAAAAGATTGCCATTATTATATATAAACATATAATGAAATGTACTTCATTTCAATCAACATATTTATTATTATTATTAATATTATTATTATTATTACTATAAGGAATTTGATACAATGTCAGGAATAATTTTGCATATAGTCTCAGTGAATAGTGATTCATTCTGAAATGAAACTCATTCTAAAGAAACAGACATGGAAATATGAACAAGTATAGAACGGTATAAGTGTGTACTTGGACAGTAGTAAACTATATATATAAGAGAGGCTGAAGTCAAAATTAATCGGGTCAATCAACCAAATAAATAAGACTTGAATTCTTAAAAACATATAGAGAAATGGTTTTTCTCATTTATCTATCCCTTTCTTTTCACCTCGTCAAACAAAATACACTAATCACCGAAAACAAAATAAACTAGAAGAATTTGCAAAAGATACGTCAAAAATGATTGTATATGAAAAGGAAACAATGAAATGGTTTAAAATAAAAACATTTCAATGTGAACACGTAATTCTGACATCATCGGAGAATTATAGTAATAAAAGTGAATGTTTAGGATATTTTGTTTGATGTAAAACTAGAATGTTGTAAGGTAAACAGACATAAAAATTCAATAATTGATAGAAGCCTATGAATTTTGGAAGTTTCCTAATGAAAATGAAAATTTCTTGATATTCCCAAAGAATTGATTTTTCAGTGTGATCATTTCACTATAATTAAACTCAATGATTTTATCAGTAGTGACTCCGTAAAATGCATTTCTGAAGCTTGATGATCAAATAACAAAATATAGAGAACATTGTAAGTTTTTGTTTCAAATGTCTACAGAATTTCTGATATTAATGATGGAAATAGTAATTCATTTTTTTAGTTTAAAACTCAAATGTAACAAACGTTTAATCAGTCAAAAATAACTAACATGGACATTAAACATGCCTATCACGTGACAAACAGAAAATAATTAATTGAATGGATGTTATACAAATTTAGTTTGCCAAAAAAGCAAAAAACATACTACTCACCGGTATTTTCATTCAAAGTAAACAAATCCCATGTCTGACTATGTTCAACAGATATTATCGAATAGTGTATTTTGTTCATGAAATCTATACCTGACTCTTCCACATACAATCGACAGACAAGACTTCCAATTAGTGTAGACTCTGTTATATTTACATGAATAATTATGTGTTGATGATAATTATCAGTTAGAGATGAATTTTCCTCTGGTTGCGACAAATTAGTAATATTTATATTCCCTACAGATTCTGAAGTGATTGAATGTAGAAGAAATTTCGGACTTGATCGAATAGTCGGTTTCACAATAATTTCAATCTGTAAAATATATGAAGAAAATATTTTAATGAACAGCTTAATTATGAGAAAAGGACAAAAATATCAGACAAACTCAAAATATTTCGCACATCTGAGTAGTAATAGACTGGTAGCCACATATTTTATACAACTTGATGATCATGTGATCGTGAACAACTTGACAACACTTTTAAATCACTATGCTTAAAGAACAAGGTATGCATAATACACACATATATCAATAACAATCCATGAAGAACGAAAGCACACAGAATAAGATAGCAAATTTCGTACTCATAAAAACAATAAGCGAAGAAATAACTACTCAAAAACAAACTTTTAGTACTTATAGCTAAATAACTGACTTAAAAAAGTCTTAATTATATAACACACAAGTTTATTTATTTAGTATACTGTTTATCAGAGCATATTCCTAAACAGAGGGATTATACGCACTTATTAGCAGGCTATTTAAAGTAGCTAACATTCAAAATGTAAACATTAAAACTTATGAACGCGAATGTGATAAAAAGTATTTTAAGAAAGAAAACAGAGCATAGAAACGAAAGTAGAATCAAGTGAAGTGATTAAATAAGTTTATTATTATTCAGATGAATAGAGAAAATTTTGAAGTTAATAACTACCAAACAATTAGTTGACTAATGATATTGGAAAACAAAATAAGGAGTGAGTATCCAAAGATAAATAAAATTATTGAGATGGAATCAATGCTAATAATGTTATGACGCAGTCAACAGTACGCTAAGAAATGATGAAAAACAGCTGGAAAAGATGGTGAAATTGTAATTCACATTGTGAACATCAACTATCGAAAAGTGATTTTAATTATCGAGATATTCTAAACTGATACATTTAGAATTTCGATTTGCAACATAATACAAAAATAGAAAAGTTAGCTACAACGATTCATCTAAGCTAAGAATTAAATGTTAAACCATTGGTAGAGTGATAATTACACTAGGTGAGAATATACTTGTAAAAATATCGTGAAAAACCTTAGAATCAGTCATGAATAACGTTGGGTCAGCCAAAAAAATGAGTATGTATTATAAGAGCGGGAAGATATAATAAGGAACTGAAAAAATTGACACAATAGCAAAAACTAAACATATGAAATATCATTTGAAAAAAATAAAATAGAGAAATATATTATATCTGTATGTAAAAATTACTATATAAAGGATTGTATTAAATTCGAATGGCGATGAGATGTATTTTTGGAAAGTTTATAAATCTTCATTGACCCAGTTTTTCGTGTTCTCATTTTGCGTCTTGGAAATTGGAATGATTCCCGTCTCGAAATATAAGACTCACGACCTTACAGCAACGAGACGTCAGATATAACAGTGGCTGTCCGGATTCAACACTCTGAGATCCTCAAACTAATAATATCACATTTCACAACATGCCTCAGCATATTCACTAGGAACGAATAAGTAATAATTGACTGTTAAACAATACCGATGTCTAAGCAAACCAATATAAAATAGTTAATGATCAAGGAAAATGAACTGATAAAATCTCTCGATTGTTGTGTAAAAATATTTCAAGTGAAATAACTTTTTGTTAATTTACATTTTGAAAACATAAAAACTAATGATAAGTGAGTCATGTGAATTGAATAACGGACTGGACCAGGTTAAGCTGTGGCCCCCAAATGCCCTGGTATGGCTGGGAGTGGGGTGGTCCCGCCCTCCCTCTCGAAATACTCTCACATGGCCACGCGTATGCAGCCTCTGCCAGGGACGTCCTACTCACTGCCTTCTCGTGGCGGGGGTGTTGTTTACGAAAATGAGAGGACGAAAAGCGAATTTCCGGCGCTTTAACCGGGCTCCAGTATCCTGAGGGAACAAATGGCATATGAACCAATCGTTGGTCACCGGCTACCGTGGGACTGCATCTCCTTACGATGCTCCACTGCCTTGTGGGTTAGACCTTTAGGTCAAAGGCTCGAGGTGTGGCCCCCCTAAGGAAACCACCTGCTTCGGTCTGGGCACCCGGGCAGTATCACAGCCCACACACAAATAAAATGAAGATAAAAATGATGGTGTTTAGTGAAAAAGTGTGGCGCATATATATTTAGTGCCCTCTTGTACCAATATTTATGTGTTCAAATAAATGAATAAAACAGTAATGTTAATCTATTTCAACAGATATCAAAATGATTTCTATAATCATTTTGTTGAAAAATAATATTAACTTCACTGGATTTATTTCAATACAAAAAAAGAAATAAACATGAAACACAAGTAGATTTCCTATAAAATCTCATTTTGTAAGTCTGGATTCATGTACATAGCCTACTATAAATATGAATACGAAGTAAATATATGGGCATTGCAATAACCTCAAACTGCACACATACAGAGACATACACGGAAAAAACAATTATAAATTACTAATATTTACCTTGGTAGTTATCATCTCTAAACCATTTGAAACAATCAATAATAAATTATGAACAGGTGACAAATGATATTCTAAATGTTCAGCTAAATAGACAAATAAATTGGTTGGTGTAGAATAGCCAACTGCGAATGGATGATGATAGGAATGATTGGATGCTTGAGAAAAAAGAAAAAGGAAACTATGACCAAAAATAAATTAGAACGGCACTAGTAAATATTTACTACTTAACATAATACGTATACAATATAGTCTCAACTGTAGTATTTTACGTAAACGATTGTTTATTTACACTGAACGGTAACCTATAACCATAATCCCGAGAAAAATTTCTTAGAGTTTATCATAGGTCTATTAAATCACTACCACTTTCAATCGACTAGCCAATAACACAATACACATATACCATATAATTCCATCTAAACCCACTTTCTAGAAAATCATCCACTTCAATTAACATTCATTGAATTATCTAAACGAAAATGATTACTAACTGAATTGAACAATATATAGCACCAGCGACAGTAATGCAAACATGATATCACAACTCACAGTCAACACGAAGAACCTTAAGAAGCACCAATACTAACAACATTATGTTTGGATCTTTAAAATAACCCAATAATAAGATTTAGTCTGAAACTGATTATCTCAACTAAAATTTTCAATGACCGATTTGTGCTTTTTTCAGATACTGACCAGAAATACTACAATCTTCAGTAGAATTAAATCAGTTAATTGATAATTTAATGGATTGATGACATAATTTAGTTAAAATAATATGAAATCTTTCCCCATTCAACATAGCATATATGTAAATTTACGATGACTGGATATAATGCCAACATATGTTCTAGACATCTAAGTCAACAATCACAATAACTGAAGAAAATCGATAGATCGGATAAAACCTAAAACACATTTCGATGAAATGATAAAACTTATTGTTTAAAAATAACACTCATAGCATTGTCTACTAGAAATAATATCTAGATTATTTTCATTTTAACAAGCTGGAGCATATATTATCCATTAAAAAAAACATAATAACAATGTTAACAACAATAATAGTTGTGATTAATGATTGTTGGATGACGGCAAATATGAAGTAAATGAAGTCAAAAATTGAGGAATATTGAAAAATTATGTAAATCAGTCAAAATTCAACTTGAAATTGTAATGATAAATGGAATACGGAAATGATTATGAATTTTGTCTTTATTGAAAAAAAAATCTATATGCTTACCAAAAAACAAACATTACACAGTTTAGTTTGTAGTTTTTTTAGAAAAGAAATAAAACGCAATAACAAAATTTCACTGTGCTTAATCTTAACTAGATGAATGCATCATAAGAGAGATATGCGCTTGGGAAATTCGAAAACGAATTGAACGAAGAGTGTGTAGGAAAGTAACTTAGCAATTGTATAGACTATATGAAAAACCGAGTATCGATATGACTATTGTCCGACAATAAACAAACAGCATAAGTGCTTTGTAAACTACAATATTTCACTATTTCGCTTTTACGCCACAAGGCATAGTGTGTAAGTATAATCCGGAGGAAATTCCCTACATCAGTCAGGGATTTATTATCGATAAATTGGAAGTCATGATAATTACAGTTGGTATAGAAATATTAATTAATAATAAAATATATCCAACAAGGAGTAAAAATAGTAATGAAAAATTGGTTTGAAGAAAAACAGCATTATTTATGAAATAAACTACCGACAATTAATGAGATCAAACGACAGCAAAAACGAGAATGAAAATGAATTATGGAAATAAATGAATGATATTGACAGTGGTGGTCAATTTACTTTCTGTTTTCAATACAACCAACATTCATGATTAGTAATTGTATTCTTTAAATAACTTTAACATTCGATTAGTATTAGTGTTTTATATAGAAAATATTTTAAAAAAGATTTATAGGATCTTAATGAAAAAAAACGAAAAATATGAACACAATCAAAATGTTATGGTTATAGACGCTAGTCATTATCTTGATTTGATGTTGAATGGGGACTGGAAAAGTTTTTTATTGTTAATTTATGATCATTATTTTTACTAGTCTCCGTCTTAGAGGAAAGTTTTTCGATAATCAGAGTGGTTGGAGAACATGATACATGGAAAAGACGGACTACACAGAAATAAAATGATCAAACGAAGATTATGCATGGGAATTAAGTAACAGTGTATCTATGGTTTTGGATATCCAACATATTTTCAGGTTATTTAAACATAAATAAAACTCTTTTGTACTAAAATCTGGACTCTTAATTGAAATACAGTTCAATAGCTTAGGAATATATAGTCTAACTAAACACTCATGATATAGCCTTTTAGTTTTGAAAAAGATAACTTCTCATTATTTTTCCTAATGCTAATGAGTCCTTATACTAAACTGGTGAATAAATTAAGTTATTAAGTT